ACATACATGTGCACATGTGCTCCTACACACACATTCCCCTCCACACATACACACATACATCTGCACATGTGCCCCTGCACACACATACTTCTCCACACATATGTACACATATGGCACACATGTACCTGCACTTCTCTCCATACATGCACCTTTCCACATACATAAAAAATAAACATCTTGGAAAAAATAAGTGACTTTGGTACATCAGGGCTGGTAAGGTAGAGAGGTGACAAGTGAGGGAGGAGAAGAGGCAAGGACAGTCAGGCTGATTAACCTTGAAGCCAGGTGTGCACAGTTGAAGTTTATCAAAAATATGATTTTTAAAAAGCCTACACAGGATCTGTGGTAAAGGTATTTGCTGCCAAGCATGATGACCTAAGTCGAGCCCCAAGACCCACAAAGTGGGAAGAAAGAATTAACTCCAGCATATTGTTGTTTGATTTCCACATGTATGCAATGGCATACTCATGCCCTCCCCCAAAAGGGGCGTGTACACACACACACACACACACACAAACAAGTACACACCTAGCAAGTAACCACCATTAAAGACTCCAGGGAAGGTCAGGGAGACAGTCTGATATCAGACTAAAAACTAGGAGATTGCAAACTGTGAGTCCGAGCACGACATACTTCTTGAAATCTGCTACACTTAATTCCTGATTCCTGACCATTTCCATAAATTGTGATTATTCTCTTCCCCTCGGGAGCCAGTCCACCATCATGACATAAGCATACCCTATATTAAACCTAGGACAAAATGAACAGACAGACAGACAGACAGACAGACAGACAGACAGACAGACAGTCTTTGGAGCTCCTGATGAACATAGATTTTTTTTTCCTAACAGTATCTTTACAAGGTTGTAAATAGATATCTTCTCTCCTTTTCTAAGCACCCCCCTTCCCCAGTTAGGTAACGTAGGGGCAAACTGACCCCTATAACCTTGAGGTTCTGGGGTAGAAACAAGCAGTCCATGCACCCACACACCCTCACTCAATCCACTCCCAAACACACATTCATCTAAGCTGCTCAAGTTCATGAAGGGTACCTGGTGCCAGGCCAACGGTGACATTTATATAAGATCATCTCTGCAAAGCTGCTTGCAAGCCCAAGTGTGGATACTAAAGAAATGATTTATCATAGCCTTGTACCTTGAATGCTTCTTTTAAAAAAGGCCTTACATCCTTCACACGACCAGACGCCGTAATGATACCCAGATGCGTAATCGCTGCAGACGGCGCAGAAGTGAGCGTCCCTCTTTGCGTTTGGACTCCTAACAGGGCTGGCACCGCTGTTCCCACTGAGCCTCCTCTGCAGTGTCTCTCTGGGGGGACAGAGAGTACAGCTGTCGTCAAAGGACACACAAGAGCGGGGAAGGGCTTTGCAGAAAAAGAAAAAAACATGAACCGTGCCAAATGTAATCTCTTTGTCTTCCAGGGTTAGGAATAAATATGGTCCTGGAAACTTGATATCAGATCACAGAAAGCTCCATTGCCGAGTTGACGACATTGACGAGTCATTGACTCCATTGACGAGTGCCTACTGGTGAGTCCAAGTCCTCAGAAGGCTAAGGAACAGGCAGCTCAGGGCTGGGCTGGCATCCGTAGCTCGAGCCCCGAAGAGGAGCAGGAGGGGTGGCTGCACATCCCCGCCCAGGGGCTGATTTTGTCAGGACATGTTTCTTTTGGGGAGGGAGTTAAGAGAGCTATTGCTAGTTTAGAAATAGTGAAAACAAACATCACCCTTTAAAGAGAGGTAAGTTAAAAGCACTCATCTTAAGACATGATCCACACTTTTTATATGTGTTTCTTCATCTTACCAATAAACAAAAAGATGAAGAAGAAAAAACAAATTTTTGTGTATTTTCTTAAAGGTTGTTTTGGTTTGGTTTGGGGCTCAGAGGTACTGGGTTTTGGGGTGCAGAGCCTCAGGGATGTTAAACATGCCTCTAGCATTGAGATGAGCCCTCCAGCTCCCATCTTTTCAAAGTTTTATAACAATATTTGAAATATTATTATAATATTGCATTGTGGTAAATTATTATGTGAATATTGTTACAATAATTGCTTTTTTGTTTTGTCTTTTGAAACGGGGTCTTTCTACGTAACCCTGGCTGTCTTGGAACTCACTATGTAGACTAGGGTAGACCTGTCTCCCGAGTGCTGGGACCAAAGTGTGCACCATTGCACCCTACAACACATTTAAGAGTTAGTGTGCCCTAACTTAGTACTCTCTTTGAGGAATCCACTTCTTCCTGCCACTTATTCATATACTATCCATTGTTAGAGTTGAAAATCTTACAAGTAGACTGGAACGCCCCATCATGCTGCCATGCATTCAGAGTTCAATTTGTTTTAACTTCGTACATTTTCAGTAGAACCCTACGGTTAGTGTCTCATTGCTCCTTACAAAGCACCACCTCAGTCAGCACTAAAGCCTATGCCCATTAGCTTTCCTGGCTTTGCATGGCTACTGCATGGAAGTTGTAGTGTTACCATGGCTACTTTCACCCTGGAGACAATCTGTCATCAACAGTAAGTATACGCTAAGACTCTAATCTGACTCTTAAAAAAAAAATGTAAAGCCCAACACCTTCACCCAAACCAAACTGATGTAAGCTGGAGACTGTTTATTATGGTGAACTCTCTCTATAATATCTATCCATAAGCAAACTTTTTAAGAATTAGAATATCAGAGTAGAACAGAGGAACATATCACCAGTATCCTAAGAACGTAGGTGGTGAAGTAAAGACCTTTTCTAACATGTCTTTCTTCATACTGACCGGTAAAGAGAGGTTTATGCCACCACCCATGATTGACAAGACTTTACCTGTTTACAGGTAAGGTGTGTTCTAGTGACCTTGTTTCACACCAAGGACTCTTCTGAGGTTCTGCATACAGAAGTGATGATTGGCAATGGGCGGCTAAAGGAGAGAGGTGTCCAGAAGTTGGCCACAGCACATTTGGGCTCGCAGTCTGTCGAACAGGCCCACCTTCCAGGTTACTGGTGCTGCCGGGGACACTGTAGTTCATCATGGCAGGACTATAGAATGTCATAGCTGAGTACTCATGGCGGCTCTCTACGTAGGAGGAAGGGATATAGATGGGGCCGTGCTCCAGGGGTAGGATGGACTGGCTACAGTTATAGGAAGGAGGGGAAGCGAGGCTTGACGGTGAGTTTTTGATCTCCATGTCTTGAGCGGGTCGCAGATGAGAAAAATCCTTGTGAGAAGAGGTACAGATGAACACTACACTCTCAGAGACTCATGGGCAAGTGAAATGCCTGCAGGGGAAAGTAGACAATGTCCAGTTAGTTCAAGCTGCCGGAGTAACTAAGAAGGATTCATTTTAGCTAGGGGCAATGATGCTTATATACAATCCTGGCACTCAAGGAGGCTGAGGCAGGGGGATTTCTAGTTCCAGGCCTACTTGGACTACAGAGTGAGATGTAGTCTCAGAGAGAGAGAGAGAGAGAGAGAGAGAGAGAGAGAGAGAGAGAGAGAGAGAGGAAGGAAGGAAGGAAAGAAAGAAAGAAAGAAAGAAAGAAAGAAAGAAAGAAAGAAAGAAAGAAAGAAAGAAGGAAGGAAGGAAGGAAGGAGAGGGAGGGAGGGAGGCAGGCTGGAAATATAGTTGGTAGAATACTTGCCTCACACACAGGAAGCCTTGACTTTGATCCCAGCACTGCAGGGGATCGTGTAAGATCTTTATAACCCCAATATTCAGGAATTAGAGGCAAAAGGTCATCCTCTTGTCAGGAGTTCAAGAATGGCATGGGATATATGAGATATTTGAGATACATCTCAAAAAAAGAAAAAGACAAAAGCAGGAAGAACAGACAGCAAACGGGCTCAGTGGATACAGTGTTCGCTGCTCCAGACTGATGACATGAGCTAATTCCAAACTCACAGTGGAAAGAGAAAAGTCCCGGAAAGTTGTCCTACGGAGGCACACGCATGCCACAGCACCCATCACCAACGTGCTCTCTGTCTCCCTGTCTCTGCCTCTCACACACATAGAGTTGTTTCTTTTTTAAATTCAAGTATCCACGGGATCTTAACGATGCTCACACTCATATTAGAAGAGGGCTACAAGTGTGCCCTGGAAGATGTCGATGAAAACATGACCTATGGGGTAGAAACGCATGGGGTACAGTCCCCATTCTCTATTTTATTGACTGTTTTTTTTTGAGACAGTTTTTGTTTTGTTTTTGTTTGTTTGTTTGTTTTTGGTTTTTCAAGACAGGGTTTCTCTGTGTAGTCCTGGCTGTCCTGGAACTCACTCTATAAACCAAGCTGGCCTCAAACTCAGAAATCTGCCTGCCTCTGCCTCCCAAGTGCTGGGATTAAAGGTGTGTGCCACCACTGCCCAGCTTTGAGACAGGTTCTTATGCATCCCATACTGTCCTCAAACTACTTATGGAATCAAAGATGACCTTGAAGTTCTGATCCTCCTGCTTCTACCTCCCCCTTAAATTATATGAATTCACCACCGTGCTGAGTTTGAACAATACAGGGATAAACTCAGGACCCTGTACTTGCTAGGGGTGTTTTCTACCAACACAGCCACACACACTCCCACTCCTTTGTTACTCTGTTGCTGCTGATGTCAAGAACAAGAATTTTTTTAAGATCTTGCTATTTTATTTTATATGCATGGATGTTTTCCCTGCTGTATGTCTGTGTGCTACATGCATGCATGGACCCTAAAGAGGCGTCAGGATCCCCTGAAGCTGCAGTTGCAGATGGCTGTGAGCCACCCTGTGGATGCTAGGAATCTGAATCAAATGCAGATCGTCTGGAGTAGAAGCCAGTGCCCTTAACTGCTGAGCCGTCTCTCCAGGCCTCAACTCTGAGAACTTTAAACCACAGTAACTTATCACAAAATTACTTTTAAATTTAAAAATACGGGAATTCATGAAGGTATTTTTCCCTAGAACTACCTAAGGTCAACTCTAAGCTGTTACTGAAAAATAAGCCTAAAAGTACTATATCAATGAGTGAGACTGTTATAGTGTCAATATATTTAAATATGTGGTAAATCTACAATAACAAATACGAGAAATTTATCATATAAATCATCTGTCTGACCACGGTAACTTTGTCAGTCTATTGCTCTAAACTTTAAAAGCAATCGTTAATATAGTATTTATACAATCAATCAGTCAATCAATACATCAATAATAGATGTCCAGTAAAACCTAACTGAGCTCGATACTAAGCTCAGTAGAGGGCGATAGAGAGACACCACAAGACAAAGGCTTGCTCCAACTTCTGGCCCTGGTAGAGACAGGCAGCAAGCAGGTGAGAATCCAGGGTGGAGCTTGCCCTAGCCAAAGGTCCAGAATGAAATCTCTCAGCAACATTACACTCTGCATGGTAATGACCTGTTCATAGGCACCTCTCTGGACTGTGGCCCAAAGGTTGAACTCTGCAGAGTCATCCATTGTACAAGACTCTTCACCCTGGCATCATGCACGCTCTGAAGGCCTTCTGCCCTCCAGAGAATACAGATTCCCATTTTGTGTGCACGTCCTGGTTTTTGGCAGCCAATCACTGAACTGCATTTTAGAGGGAACCTAATGCTTTATTGGCAACCCTAGATCTTCTAAACAAGTTGACATCACTGCAAGTCAATAGCCAAACCTCACCTTGCCTGGCAAATTCTTTTTTTTTTTTTTTTTTTTTTTTTTTTAGGCAAAAACAGTCTTTATTGGGCTCACACCAGGAGTCCATTGGTCTTGAGGACCTCTGTGAACTTGCAGATTTTCTTTTCCACATTCTTTTCTGCCTGTTTCCATAGCCTCAAGAGCTGCTTCTTCTTCCTATAGTGAATCTTGGCCTTTTCCTTCCGTTTCTCCTCCAGAGTGGCTGTCACCGCCTGGTACTTCCACCCAACCTCATGAGCCAGACGCCCCAGGTAAGCAAACTGCAGGGGCACAAGGCTTTCTGGTAGGTTTCAGCCGCACAACCTTGAGAGCGGCAGGGCTCCTGGGAAATTCTAAACCCCTACAGAATTGTCCTTACTTGGATATTTTCCCTCATCCCTAAGGGGCTAAAAGTATCTCTGAATAGTTTATATTTATCTCTTCTTACAGTTAATATTTCTTTGCATTAAATTTCCCCTGCTGAAAGTATCATATGTATGTCCTGGTTTGATCCAGACTGCTATACCAACAGAAAAGACAGTCCAACACTCAAAGGTAGGGGGAATTTGGTGGACAATAAGGAGCAAAAGCATCAAGTGCTCTTAACCACTGAGCAGTCTCTTGAGCCCCAGTACTATCTAGACCCAGCCCTCACTGGGCTGTCTCTCCAGTATTTCAGCACTGAGACCATACTTCAGTGCACTGTTTGCCTGTATCATCTGAGCATGTCTGATGCTGCCAAATCCTAAATCAAAATACATTTAAAGAACTTTAACAATAGAATTTAAACAGCATGCCTTCTATCAACTGAGTGAAATACATAAGCTCTTGGCATGCATAGCAATTGTATTTATACACAAAATTTGGAGTTAGTATTAAAATGTAAATTCCTTGAACATTACAAAAAGTATAAAAAGCCAAAATGGAAGGTCCAATTTAACAAATAAAAATTATGTCCCAAAATGAGTATAGTCATTATGGTATATATGCTACCTTCCTTTTTAAAGATTTATGTATTTGTTTTTTTTGTGTGTGTGTGTATGTGTGTGTGTGTACGTGTCTATGTGCAGGCACATGCATCTGTATATACATATGAAGGCTAGAGAGGGTGTTGGGTGCCCTTCTCTGCCACTCCCTGCCCATTCCTTCTTCTTCTGAACCTAGATCTCAAGTTTTTCTCTGCTAGGCTATAAGATAAAAACTCCAGAATCTCCTGTCTCCATCCCTGTTGGAGTTGAGACTGTAAGCAAGGGATATCTAGCTTGTTACACTGCTGCTGGGGTTAGAACTCTGGGTCCTCATGGCTGTACTGCATCACCTCTCCAGTCTTACCTTCTCTTTGTTTGTTTGTTTGTTTGTTTGCTTGTTTGTTTGTTTTGTGGAGGCAGTGTTTCCCATAACCCAGGCAGGTATTGAACTTGCTCTATTACTAATGAGAACCTTGAACTCTTCCACCTCCCCAGATCTGTAATTACAGATGTACCCAACCATACCCAGCATATGTGGTGCTGTGGATCAAGCCCAGGGTTGTTTGCATGCAGGCAAACACTGTGTGAACACTGAGACACATCCCGGCCCTTTACAGACTTTCTCATATAGAGTATTACTGAAATGAGCCAGGTATGGTGGTCCACACATGCAGTTCCCAGCACTGGAATGGCAGAGGCATGAGTTATGGTGGCACGTCTGAGGCCAGCTTGTTCTACATATTGAGTTCCAGGCCATCTAGAGCTGCATACTGTGACTCTGTCTTGGAAAAAAAAAAGCCAGCCAACAAAAAGAAAAACACAAAAATACTACCAAGTCTTTCTAAGTGTAAACCCCCATAAGGAACAAACACGGTAATGCGAATCGTCATATGAAAACTAATTAAACTTAAGAAATTACAAGCCAAGAGAACAGGGAATTTCAAACAAATTTGAGCAAAGGACTTCAAGATAATACAAAGTGTACAAAAATATAATAAAAGTTTGATAAAGTTTTAGCATCGTGATCAAAGAGGATCTCACAGACCCTTAGCTTTTCATCTGCAAAAGGAGTGTAGCTAGCACTCCAGTGAGCTGCACTGAACTTTCGTCTGTAGTCTGCAGTAACAACCATCTGAAACCTCTGCTGTGTCTTCTTATTGAGTGTCTTATTTAAGATTTTCTTATTGTTATTTTCTGTGTATGAGTGTTTTGCTTGTGGATGTCTGTGCACTAAGTGTATATCTGGTACCTAAAGAAACCAGAAGATCTCCTGGAGTTGGAGTCACAAATGGTGGTGAGCCACCACGTGGGTGCTAGGAATCGAACCCTGGTCTTCTGAAAAAGCAGCAAGAGCTTTTAACCACTGAGCTGACTGTCCAACCCCTTCATCAGGGCTCTAAGAAGCATGAATTACCTGGGTTGAAGAGATAACTCAGTCAGTAAAATGTTTGCTCTGCAAGCATGAAGACCCACTGTAATCCATGTAAAAAGCTACATGAAAGTCGGTACCAGATAGATGAGAGATCCTCAAAAAAACAGGTGAGATGGCTCAATGGGTAAAATCACTTGGTTCACAAGCTGACTGAGTTTGGTCACCAGAATCCACAGGAGAATGAGAGAAAAGTTGTCCTCTAACCTCCAGACACATACAGAGTTATGGTATGCACATACCCATGCTCTAATAGACGTCATACCTTCATTCATACATACATACATACATACATACATACACACACATGCACACAACAACAATAATAATGATAATAATAATAATAAATTAAAGTGCCTGGACAGATGGCTCAGCAGTTAAGAGTACTTGCTACCCTTTCTGATGACCCAAGTTCGTGACCAGCATCCACATCAAGTGGCCCACTCTTGCTTACAGCTCCAGCTCCAGAGAATCTGACACCTTCCCCCACAGGTACCACATGCATATGCACATACATGCACACACACACATGCATATACATAAATATATAGAATATTTAAACACTAATTAATTTTTTTGAATTGGACAGTGCCTGAAGAAGAGTGGCACCTGAGGTTGTCCTCTGGCTTGTACATACATGCACATACACATATGTGTGCAAATGTACACACACACACACACAATGAACAGTCACATGGAAAGATATGAACACAAAGTTTAGAAGCAGCAGAGAACTAGAGAACTGATTCCATCGTCCTTATCACCTGCAGCTGAAACACACCCCCTCAGCTCAGCTGTTCGAATGGCCCTGTCAGGTACATGCCATGTCAAGCAAGTGCTGAGATCACTCAAGTCACCAATGAGCCGCCACAATGGCATTGCCTTGAAACAGAGATCTCCTCTGCTAGCCTATCACTAATCAATTGCTCTAGGTGTTCTACCAAGTCCCAGTGCATTCAGTATTGTCGAGAACCACTGCTGATGGTTATTAGAACTAAGGTTGCTCTCTGATTGAATATCTTCTGATACATCCAGATGCATATCTGTCACAGCTGTCTACCAGGGGCATTGTGGATGATTGATACCATGATCACCCATGAGAGATCTTTTCTTCCTAAGTCACAACCTCAGAAAAGCTTTTGTACACACAGGGTTACACATGGCAGGCTGAGGTCAGAAAAAACACATTTTGGATCTCAAGCTAAAAAATAAATAACTTTTAAAGACACCCCACCTCCCCAAATACTGACAGTGGCTTTATGGAGAAGAAAAAGGTTGGCTCTGGAAATAACAAGGCATCGCAAAATGAGACCACAGACCTATGTATCTAGCAGAAGGCTAGGCGTCAGTTACCACTCAGCCTATATTCATGTGTATTCTGGCCCAGTACACAGAGCACATCGGATCCTGGGCTGCAAAATAACTAAAAGCCATGTTTTAGACAAGTCACATAAACTCAAACTTTCCTGTCGTCTTCAGTAGAAATGAAAAAATATTGTAGAATGCATGTTTTCCCAGTGTTCTGGGGAAGAGAGGAGGGAGGCTGCATGCATGAAAACATTCCATGAGATTTCATTATTCTGTGCAGAGGTGGAAGCCAGCTTGGCCACTGACATGCCACTGGGCACACCTCTCAAGATGGTCAGGATTCCCAGACAATTTAAAATAAAATGCTTTCTGTTCTCTGAAGGCTTTTGCTTCTGAATTTTACTTTTTTTTTAGACTAGTGTTTGACGGAAATCCATCACCTCAAGCAGTCTAACTAGCTGGGCCATTAGGACCCTGTCTGCTCTCTGTGTGCAGAGACGATGCCACCTCCTATGAGGACCATATCTTGGGCCCACGGATGCAAACAGCTTAGACGGGCATCTGCCATTCTTCCAGATGTCTATCCCACTCTGCAAAGCATCCCACCCACACATTCCACACCTGTGTTCCCCACAAAAGTAAAAACTCACACCCATAGACACCAGAATTTCATGGACAAGAAAAATATGTATAAATACACTTCTCATCTTGTTCTTTTCTAAGACAAAGTCTCATGCAGCCCAGGTTAGCATAAAAATTGCTGTGTAGCCAAAGCTGTCCTTAAACTCTTCCTGCTTCCGTATCTTGAGTTCTAGGATTAATGGCAAGGACTACCACGCTTGATTCATATGATGCTGTAGAGAGAAATCAGGGCTTTGTGCATGCTAGGCAGAATATCTTCCAACCGACCTACATCTCCAGCCTCTTAGAGGTACCTCTTAAGCACCAAGCATTCTTTCTATATACTTGTGTTTAGCACATAGTACTCCTGCTTATTACCTTTACATGTATCTTTTCTAAAGAGAAATATTAAGGCCCTCAATCAATTTCATGATAGGAACAAAGAAAACTCAGTCTAAAACAAACATAAAACAGACCACTAATAACTGACTTACGTGAAACTCTTTAAAACTGAATGTGTATCTTCCAAAATGAGAAAAAGCTAATTCTTCTCTATCATGAATCTTAGAGCGGTATTTAAAAAAAAAAAGGCTTAAATGCAACTGTCTGTAAACAATATTGCAATAAGTAGAACTTTTTCCAATTTCTATAACAATGTACTAAACACTGGATTATGAAGTCTAATAACCAAATGTTCAGTTTTCAAGGGCTTTGCAAATATAATGAAAACAACTTACCTGCAAATGATTGGAGTTTATTCCTCAGAGTTTTATATAGTCACTTTCTAGTCATTCCATAAAATGACTCAAAACATCAACTAAAATTTTATCGTGAAATATATTTTAAGTCATTGCCTGTTGAATACTCATTTAATAAGAATTACAGTGTGTTAGTCTTTGGAAGGGGTCGTAAGGCCTAGTAAGTGCTAATTTATATATTTGATATGTTAAACTTAGTACTAAATTTCACCTTTTTATATTAAAAATAAAAACTGAGAAATGTCAAATCTGACTAGATCTATTTGGGTTCCTCGAACCCATCTTGAAATTGTCTTATACATGCTTTTTGTTGATTTCAAATGTTTAAACATCTTGGGCAAGACTTAAAGTGTTGCCTTTAAAACTGCTCTTGAGATAAGAATTTCAGAGTCCTCTAGATGACTGTTGAACATAAAATGAAACCCCAGAGCCCCTGCTTTAACACTAGCTGACAAACTCTCACCCTTTACTTCAGATAGAATGTCCGGAGAGCAGTGGGTCTCAGCCTTCCTAGCGGGACAGTCCCTTTAATACAGTCCCTCGTATTATGGTGACCTCCAATCACAAAATTAGTTTCCTTGTTGCTTCATAAGTGTAATTTGGCTGCTGTTATGAATCGTAATAGAAATGTTTTTGGAGATCAAGGGTTCCCAAGGGGGTCTCGGCCCACAGGTTGAGAACCCCTGCTGATGCTCTGGACCAAAAGGGAGATTACCTATTGTACTTTTCTTGTTGTCGTTACATATGTGCTTTCTGATCTTTCCTTTCACTCTTTAAAAACATTTACACGGAGAAAGAGGAAATATCCACCGTGAGCCGGATCATTACGGTAACAATGACATTTTAAGTGGGATGCTTACAAAAACACTTGAAATAGAACAAGACATAAAAATCTTCCGAGGTACCACATGCCAAACACAAACCTGCCTTCTAAATCCTAAGTAAAATAATCAGGATTGCTTTCTGAATAGCGCTCAAATTCAGTTTTGTTTCACACACACACACACACACACACACACACCAATATTCACTTGACCTGACTTTCTCCTTCTGCCATGAAACAGTCACCACAGGTAATCTGGAAGAAGCAACAGCTAGATTCCTCTCCAGCATATAAGAGAAATCAGATTTAATCTTTCTCAGACTATCCAGGAAAGAAGTTAAACTCTATTTCTGACTAAGGATTGCCAGTCGACTCATTTTCAAGCCATGATCACCTGCCTACGACAGGCATATCGTCCCTGGTCCACAATACTCAAACAAGAAGCGTCATCATCTTATCCGTTGCTAGGAAAAATCACAGGAATTTTCTTTCTTTAAAAGGACAATTATATTCATACAACCAACCCAAAAGTCAATAAAATTTCCGTTTCCGGCAGTGTTCAGGACAGTTGCATCCATCCCCCTGCCGCAGCCGCAGCCCCTTTATTGTTTCTAAACTCTGCTGGCTTCCCCCAAAGTCAATTAAGCCTCACTGAGCAAAAGGACACTTACCTGGCAGGTGAACATTCTCTCTTTTGCCTTCTCTAAATGCAGACACGTGCTTTTCTCGGTCCCTGAGCGGGACACGCAGCCACTGGTTGTTGCTAGCCCTGAGGCAGCTGCCAGACTCTACTGCAGACCCGGATGCCAAGGGGTGCCAGTGACAGCACAAGCCGTTCCCTGTTCCCTCCGGGCCAGCTCCCCACCTCCTCTACTCTCAGGAAGTTTCAAGAGGTGATTAATTCTAGAAGCCTGGGAGAAGGCAGGGACCTGAGAGTGCGGTTCCAAAAAGCCAGCAGCTGGAGAAGCTGCAAAGATTGCCCACGACTAACAAGCGTTAGTGCGTCTTTCTTTTAAAGACCTAGAAAAGAGTGTGGGAGGGTAGCTGAGAAGCCCACGTGACCACAAACCCGGAGCCGGAGATCTCAGGCACTCCCGCGCCGCGCAACCAGATCCACTGGATGTCAACCTCTAGTCACTTCACAGTCATCCACTGGGGACCCCCATCCCCACCCCCTTCCAAGAGACTGACGATAGAGGACCGAGATGGGGCCCGGGAATGGGAATTTCTGACCAGATCCCCAGGGATCCTGGATTGACCGTGGGCGTACAGGGACCACACTTCATGTTGTTTCCATACTTTGACCCACGTGCGTGTCATTAAATGCTTAAGTCTGACAACTATCCTTGAGAAGCATGGCCAGGCTCTGGGTTCGAGTAATAGCACCCATATAAGCAGTACTAACGGAGCAATGAAGTCAGATCCCTTTGCAGGAAGTGTTAGCTTGAACCCAAGAAAAGTAAGGCAATGGGCTGGAGGTGGAGGCTTCAACGCTCATCTGTCAGCGGCTGGCGATGGAAGTGGGGAGAGAAAACGGGAGGTGGGGGGGGGAGGGGGAGAAAGCAGTGGGTTAGGGCCAAGATCCCGCGTGCCTCCTGGAATTCACCTGGAGAAAATCCGCCTGCGCCTTTACAGGGTTCCTCTCTTCCTTGGCGGAGAGGTTCTCTGGCGCCCCCGGATGGCAGCCCTGATCCTACTAGACAAAGGCTGGGATCATACCTTAGTCTTTTAGGAAACAATTGGCTTTAAGGCAGCCTTTGGTGGTAAAAGTTAAAAGGAAAACAAATGACCTGTAGGCCAACCTGGTGTCACTCGTGTGCCTAATTAGTCGTCAAGCCATCTGCACACATCATGGGGACATTTGTGAAGGGTTTCAAAGATCTACTTTTTATCTTTTAAATTATGCACATGCGGGTATGTGCACATGCGTGCAGATGCCCACGGAGACTATAGGTGTGGGATTCCCTCCTGGGGATGAGTGCTAGAGACTTCAGCTTCTATGCAAGAGCAGCATGCTATCTTAATAGCTGAGCTGTCTCTTCAGACCCGGAATGTGATTCTCGACGGATGTTAATCTATTAGAAGAAAACCAAGGGGGCATTTGGAGAGAAACTTGCACAATGCCAACCTCAGCATTTTGGGTTGTAACCAAATGCCTTCGGGGATTTTCCTGAGGCCTGAGTTTATGAGTGCCACAGGTAGGCACCAAAGACTACACATGTGGAAAAGCTCGTACTTTATAAACTATGAGCAAAGGCTATGCCAAAAGTCTCACTGTCCCCACTTATCCTATGTACAGATTTCATTTAAGCTAAAAGTCCTGTATTATTTCCATTTGTGAATTGGAATTGTGAACGTCCCCATCCTTGAGGGTTAGGAAAGGTAGAATGGATGGGAGAGTGGCTAGCTACTGAGACCATTCCTCGAGGGTAGGCAAGGATGAGATTGGTTCTCACCAGCCTCCACCTTCCTATACCCTTTCCTGTGTGTCTGTGTGTCCTGTATCACTCAGTCCTTCCTCCTTTCCTGCCTTGGGTAGAAAAGTCGAAGTAGAGATCTTAAACAAATTAGTTCATTTAATGATACTTGTTAACAAGATTCATCTGGAGGGAGGCCAAAATGGCTCAACCAATAAAGGGACCTGCCAAGCTAGTCTGACAGACCTGAGTTTAGTCCACAGAACCCAAGTAAGGTGGAAGGATTTACATAAACGCTGGGCTCAGTTCCAGCACCCACATGGTGGCTCACAATGGCCTGTAACTCCAGTCCCAGGGGTGCCAATACTATCTTTTGACCTCCAGTCACCAGGCACGTATATGGTACATACACACATGCTGGCCAAACACTCACATAATAACACGCACATAACTAATGAAAATAAAAAGATGGAAGGAGCCGGGTGGTGGTGGAGCACGCCTTTAATCCCAGCACTTGGGAGGCAGAGTTTTGAGTTCGAGGCCAGCCTGGTCTATAGTGTGAGTTCCAGGACAGCCAGGGCTATACAGAGAAATCCTGTCTCAAAAAAAAAAAAAAAAAAAACAACCAAACAAACAAAAAAGATGGAAGAAGAGAAGGAGGGAACCAACTCCCTAAACTTAAGCTGATTGCCACACAAACCGTATGGCATGTGCACATATTATATACACTAATACATTTAAAAAAAACTACTGAGTTATACACTTTATTTATTTATGTATTTATTTATTTTAAATTTATTTATTTTTATTTATTTTATGTATGTGACTACACTGTAGTTGTCTTCAGACATACCAGAAGAGGGCATCAGATCACATGGTTGTGAGCCACCATGTGGTTGCTGGGAATTGAACTCAGGACCTCTGGAAGAGCAGAGGGTGTTCTTAAACCACTGAGCCATCTCTCCAGTTCACACTAATACATTTTTAATTTTAAAAAATCATCTAGAGTTGAACATCAGTGAAGGAATCTCAATCCAGAGCCAAGAGGCAGGTAAAGGAGGTGTGGGGGAGAGAAAGCTGACATCCCTCAGGTATCTACACCCAGTCAGGCAGCACAGCTCCCATTTAATCCTTATCCAGGTCCGAGGGGCAGGTAATACTGGCTCCACCTTCCAGAGGAGGAACAGAGGCTCATGGAGCTTACATCCACTATGGGAAGCTACAAGATAAAAAAGAAACCCAGTAGCAACCGTGGTACACAGCAACCATGATGGACATTTAACTACGTGATGCTTTCATGTGCATGTGTGTGCGCCTGTGCGTGTGCATGTGAGTGTGCTTGTGAGTGTGTGTGTGTGTGCTACAGTTCCATTGCTGTGATAAACCCCATGATCAAAAGCAATGTGGGGAGGAAAAGGTTCATTTCAGTTCACAGTATTTACTACGCGCTAGTCCATAGTGAAGGGGTTCAGAGCAGGAACCTGGAGGCAGGGGTTGACGGGATGCTGCTTACAGACTTGCACCTTCCAGCTTGCCCTACCTGCTGTCTTTTACAACCCAGGACTACCTGCCCAGGTCTGGTACCACCTACAATGGGTGGGGCCCTCCTCCATCAATCATTAACCAAGAAAATAGCCCACAGGTTTGCCTACTAGGTGGTCCTATAGAGGCATTTTCTCAACTGAAGTTAGCTCTTTTTCTTTTGTAGCTTTGTGTCAAGTTGACAAAAAAAAAATTAACCAGCACCTGTATATGTGTCACCTTTTTATTTTATATACACTGGCCATATAAAATACATTTTTTTCCTTCATTTTAATTTTTAATTTTTTTAGAAGAGTCTTGTTATGTAGCACAGGCTAGCCTTAAACTCACTATGTAGCCCATAGTTGCTTTCAGATTCAATTATGCAATACTTTTGTCATACCTGCCTACAGAGCAAACTCTATCATTACTTATTCCAATTTTATGAGTGGGAAAATGGATATCCATGAAGATTAAGTGACCTTCCTAAGATCACACAGCTTGTGAGTTGCCGAGAAGGACTTGAACCTAGGACATAGCCTAAGTCCTGTCCTGTAGCTGTTTAAACCACATCTACAAAAGCCAGGTATAGATGTGGTTTATGCCTTAATCCCAGCGCTTGAAGGGAAAGGGAGGAGGATCTCCGAGTTTGAGGCCAGCCTGGTCTACAAAGCAAGTTCCAGGACAACCAAGGGCTTCACAAAGAAACACTATCTGGAAAAAAAAAACCAGACAAATAAAATTAAAACAATAACAACAACAAAACCCCAACATCTAGAATGGATTAGCAATAAAGCTGACTCAAAGTTTGCTCTATGCAAACTGATGTCTCCTACAGACAAAGCCCTCCTCAGTACCTCTTGCCAGCTGATCAGTCCCAGAAGTGGAGCCCTGGGCTGGATGTCATGCTTCCTCAGAAAGTGCCCTGCTCTCAGGGGCAGCATGTTCTCTCTTCCACGACCCTCAAACACCCACACCTTACTGCTTAATGCACAAGACATATCGTTGCGGAACATCTGAAGCAAAGAGAATGAACGGAGGAAAGGAAATTGTCTCTCTGACTCACCCTGTCCGTCAGGAAGGATAATGATACCCAGATGGGTGCTTTGTCTGCTTGGATGACAGTAAGAAGGATGATTATCCTCCAGTCCACCTGAACCACGACCAAAAACAAAGGGACTCTTGGGACAGTGGGTTCCAATGGTTAGACCAGAAAGTTCCCTGCGACCTGTGGCAACACTGATGCTTTTGCTTAGCAGGGTACAAGCTTGTCTCTATTTCATCCCCAAGCTGCCTAGCAACGCAATCACATGGTGTGACAGGAAAAGGTCTCCTCTCCCCTAACTACCCCATGACAGAGACTGAACACCTTACTAGTAAACCTTCAGGAACAAAGCACTGAGTTATTAAAACTCAATTGTGTTACATATGATGAGCAACACCAGTTCAGTAGCTTGTTTTTGCTGCTGTGGAGGGAGCCTGGGGCTTTGACGATGTTATGTACCTGCTCTGCTACTGAGCTGCATTCCCAGAACACTCACCACCTTTTAATGATCAGATTTGTTGTCTACCTACTGGTGCTCATAATGACACTAACTAGATTAGCTTGGAGCATGACGTGGGCGACAGCAAAGAAAATAAAGAATCCTGTTTATAACAGATACACTTTTTTGCAAGAAAGCATAAAAGCAGATTCGTCACTGTCTCATCCTGCCTCTTCCCTGATGATGCGCTGCCTGCTTCAAAAGACAGCACTGGGTCCATCCGCCCTGCTTCTATAGACATCGGTTCTGCGGGATGGGCACCCCACCTCCCTGCAGTGTGCAGCTCAACTTTGACACCGACTGCAGTGTCGCCTTGTGTCTCTGGCCTCCTCCATAATCCCATAGCATCCACTTTGCCCATTCAGGCATTTACAAAGGCTT